CCCGTGGTTGGTCTTTTTGAGCATTCTGGGGAGTTCGGACTTTCTCCTGTAGGGGAAGAGGAGCTGCTTAGGAGCTTTAAGCAAAGGTCTGACATGATCAGATTTGCATCTTAGGCTGATCCTTCTGGGCACAATGTGGAGTCCTAGAAGGAAAAGCAAGACAGGGACAGAGAGCTTATGGTAAAGAAAAAATAACTGTAAACACCCCAAATCTGAGGACATAAAAAGACATCCAGAGTCTGTAAGCCCGTAGTATCCCAAATAGACTGAACACAAAAAAGCCTACACTAAGTCACATTATAATTAAACTATCAAAGTCAAAGATAAAAAGACAATGTTGAAAGCAGCAAGAGAGAAGTGACTTGTCACATGCCAGGGAACTCCCCTAAGGTTATTATGCAAGACTAGATGGGTAATGTTTGTACAGAGATGGAAATTCCAAGAAAGAATACAAAAGAAATGCTAGACATGAAAAACACTGCAATAGGAAGGAAACATGCCTTTGATGGGGCTCATTAGTAGACTGGAGGACATAGCTGAGACAAGAGTCTGAGCTTGAGGATACATCACCAGGTAGTTCCAAAATAGAAAAGAAAAAAGACACCCCTCCTCCCCCCAAAAAGTAGAGCATCCAGGAACTGTGATAAAACTATGAAAAGTGCAACATAATGTGTAATGGGAATACCAGAAGCAGAAGAGAGAAAGGAACAGAAAACTACTTGGAGAATGTAAAGGGATCCTGAGATCGATAAGTTTGAGAACTACTGCCTTAAACATTTCTTTCAATTTAAAACAAATAACTGGACTTATTTGCCAAACTTTTAGTGCAGAAAGAGAGCTTTTTCTTTGCTATGAGCCCACAATTTGGACTCTTAACTAACCACACCTATGATACATTGTCTATAATTTTCTATTTCAACTTTCTTAAAGTGGAGTAAGAACTCAAAGACTTTCTTTTTTGCAAAAGTATCAAAGCGCAGAATCTGTCTAGAATTTTACAGCAATCTCCCTGACATCTGATATGACAATAATTTATTTTAACAACTTGCCTTTAATGAGTCGCTCCAAGGCAGCGGTTCTCAACCTGTGAGTCTCGACCCCTTTGGCGGTCGAATGACCCTTTCACCGGGGTCGCCTAAGACCATCCTGCATATCAGATATTTACATTACGATTCATAACAGTAGCAACATTACAGTTATGAAGTAGCAACAAAAATAATTTTATGGTTGGGTCACAACATGAGGAACTGTATTTAAAGGGCCAGAAGGTTGAGAACCACTGCTCCAAAGCATTCCACTTAGTTTTCATAAAAGCAACTCTTTTCACCCTTTGTAGCTCAGTGTATTTAGTTTAAATAAAATTAATATAACTACAAGATTAACAACTGGCTTGAGTAACCAGAGGGACATACATAACTGCCTCTTAGTGTACCTCCCCGCCAGTCGGAGCAGACCTGCCTGACAACCCACCCTCCCTGAGCCAGTGACTTGCCATGGTTGTTGGCGCATGCATTTTGCAGAGGGAATGAGTATTGTTAGTTTATCTGGGGAAACAGTTAAAGGGAGGTTGATTAAAAGCACTCTGTTCCCAACAAGTGGCAACAACTACTAAAATTAGCATCTCACTGTCAACTCAAGCCCTCCGTGTCTACTCCATTACAGGAGAGATTTTGTATTTATCTCCTTATCCTCAGTGCCTGGCTGAGAATAAGGAGATGGGCAGAGGAATTCACTGTTTTGACTGAATGTCAAGACACCCTTTTGGTCCCCAGTCTCCTGTGCGAGCTTAAACAGCCTCCCTCCTGTCTCCTGTTTTGTTGTATGTTTCTTTTCTTCTCTTAGTTTTGGACCCCTGCCCTCCTTTCAGTCTTTTTCTTTAACCCTGACCTGTCCCTAAGCCTTATAATTTCTTCTCCTGACAGGTCTCTCACATGGGTGTCATCACACTCTCCTCTCTGGCCTCCCACCTGACTCTTCCTTGCTTCTGGGCTCCCACAGAACGTAGGGGCACTTGGCAATCAGCTCACAGACTGTAGCCGTCACCCGCCCTGGTCATTTCTGCTCTCTTTCTAGTGCGTGGTGCCGGCCCTTGGTCCATGTATCATGCTTCCTGCTTTTAGGGGCAGAGGCCAGGCCTGGGCAGCTCTGGAGGGACAGTGTTGAGGGGCTGCAGGGAGGGCCAAAACCATCACAGAGCCCCGCTAACAGGCGCCATTGTGGTCAAAGCACACCCAGACCTTCGTTATCCCTCTACTTCCAGGAATGTCTGCAAAGACGTTTCTTTGTTTTTTGTTGTTTTTTTTAAAAAATGTATTTTATTGATTTCAGAGAGGAAGGGAGAGGGAGAGACAGATGGAAACAGTGATGAGAGAGAATCATTAATCGGCTGCCTTCTGCACGCCCCACGGTGGGGACCGCGCCTGCCAGCCGGGCATGTGCCTTGACCGGGAATCGAACCGTGACCTCCTGGTTATAGGTTGATGCTCAACCACTGAGCCACCGCAGCTCGGCTAAGGAATATTTCTTTGTAGCGAAAGGACTTACATAGAACTGTCTGAATCTTATCTAATTGGGTTGACAGGACACAAGCCCTAAGCTCCTGTGAGGACTATCACCAAACTTTAAATTGGTTCTGGGATTAAAACTGGCCCCAAACAACCAGAGCTCTAAATTGCTCCATGGCTCCGGGACAGAGCCTCTGGGGAGAGGGCGAGGGGCGAAGAGCAGGGGGTGTCTGCCCTGCGCATGCAGGCTGGGCATGGCTGCCAGGACCCCTGGGGAGCAGCTCCTCAGCCTGTCCTTCCTCTTGTTCTCTTGCTGGGCATGGAGACGGCCACTGACAGGGAGCAGCCAGAGCCCCTTCACCTGTGGTCAACCCTAGGCTTTCCTTACCGGGCTGTGAAAGTGAAGGGACTGCTGAGCCTCAAGACAACTAAGCAGGATTTGCTTCCAGGCACAGCCCCAGCAGGGAGGGCTGTACCAGGGACGGGCAAGCTGGGCAGCTGCAGCAAATCACCTCCCAAGCCCGGGGCCTTCCAGCATCCTCCAGCCATGAGACCGCTGTCCAGGTGGGCGCCTGTCCCACCATGGCTCACCCCACACTGAGTTCTCTCTGTGGCTAAAGCTTCTTCAGGTAGGTGGGTGGAAGAGAAGAGGTGGTTGTGAGGGAGACTTGGTCACAGCTTCCATGTCTCTGAGGGTTTTTCTAGGGGAAGGGAGCAGGCATGTCCTGGGAGCCTAGACCCGTGTGGGGGCAGACAGAGTGAGGAGTGGGGAGGATATTAGAGGAAGAAGTTTCTCCTTAAAGTCGGGGAAACTTTCCAACAATCAAGCCTGCCTGACAAAGGAATGGGAAGCAGGCACTCACAAAACTCCAGATTTTCACAGCAGAAATGGGAAAATTGTGTTTCATAGAAGGTATTCCTACAAGGGCGGTGAAAGAGGTAAGGCTAGTTATTTTACAGCATTCCCGCCAAGTCTACGAATCTCCAGTCAATAATATTAATATCTCTAAAAACAGATTTCTTTTCCCTAAATATTTCCAACGTCCACAGTTAATCTCTGAAAATTGCATGAGGATAGCTTCCCAATGGCTTCTCCTGTTCAATCGCCCCCAACCAGCAACAGTGTAATAGTCGCCGATGCAATGAGGGAAGCCCAGAGACCCCCTCCTACCCTCACCCCCCAACCCCAAGCCCTGCTCTGAGCAGATACTTTGGAGAAAGATGCGACACCTGTCTCTTTCATGAGTGTCCTAGAGAGAGTGAGGAGGACCACGACTTCATCCTTGCTCTTCTGCTTCTCCGTGAACCTGCTCTGGCACACAACGGAGGAGCCAGAATACAATCAGGGTGGTGAGGGAGGAGCCCTGGGGAGAAGGTCGGGAACCAGGCTCCCGTCCTGGCCCTGTATGCACTGTGCGTGACCTCTCTGATCTTGTCTCCTCATTTTAACATGAGCAATCGAGGCTTGCGGTTTTCTCTAATGCAGTGGGCCGTTCTGTAGTGACTGAAGGACAGCCTATATGCAGTGTCTCCTTTGGGTGACCTCTCTGCAAGGCTGGGTAGAACTGTCTGCTTTCCTGTGGAGAAAGCATTGCTGTGGCACTGCAGTGGCCATCATGGTCAACTCAAACAGAGAAGGGTCTGAGCTCGGAGTCGTGACCTAAAACAGCTCCAGAAGCACAGAGCCTGGTCACAGCGTCACCGATGCTCACAGTGGGAGGCATAGAGGACACGTGTCCTTGTATTCTTTTCCTGCTCCCCAACCCCCAGCGCTGGAGTGGACTGAGGAGACTGCAGTGCCGTGGACTGAGGCATGGGTAGAGAGGGGGGATGTGGAAGTACTTCTGTTAGGGTCTCCTTCGTCCACCAGCCAGAAACTCCTTACTGACAGTGTCATGAAGGGAGGTCGCCAAACATTAGAAATGAAGTATAAACCAGGCATCGAGTGACAAATGTAAATGCTAGGCAGGCCCTGATCATCACATTCCTTTTGTACAGGACTCCAGGGGGAGCCAAATTACCATCAGAAAAATCATTACACAAGCACAGAATTAGCACCAGGGGAGTGAGGGAAAGTCAGCGGTCAGCATCACTGAATAGGACGACCTCCCAGGACACTGCAGGGACAACTTGGGGACAGGCAGGGCTGACCCTCTGGGTTTCTGTTTTATGGTCCTCCTGTAGGTTTATCCTTATGCAATCCTTTCTTCAAGTGTTAACACTATTGAGCCGGCTAAAACTCTTTCCTAAATCATGGTTTGATTAGATTTCCAGGCTGTCCCTTTCCTGCTTTTGATGTGGGATAGCCTGAGATTTAAGGTAACTTTAGTAGACGGTGAATTTTGTCCCTTAGACACCGATATTACAAACTGGTATGTCAAAGGGTGCATTTAATTATAATTGCTGGAAGCATCTCATTATAATCCCCAATATTGATCCCGATAAACATGTGTTTGCTGTCCTCAGTTTCCCTGAAGGTAGAAGAGAGAATTTAAAATGGAAGAGGCCAACCAATCCAAGGTGGCAGAATTTGTCTTGCTGGGGCTTTCAGATCAGCCGAAGCTGGAGAAAACCTTCTTTGTGCTCATCCTGCTGATGTACCTGGTGATCCTGCTGGGAAATGGGGTCCTTGTCCTGGTGACCATCTCTGACTCCCACCTGCACACATCCATGTACTTCTTCCTGGGGAACCTCTCCTTCCTGGACATCTGCTACACCACCTCTTCCATCCCTCTAGTCCTGGATGGCTTCCTCACTCCCAGGAAAACCATCTCTTTCTCAGCCTGTGCTGTGCAGATGTTTCTCTCCTTTGCCATGGGAGCCACAGAGTGTGTGCTGCTGGGCATGATGGCATTTGATCGCTACGTGGCCATCTGCAACCCCCTTAGATACCCCGTGGTCATGAGCAAGGCTGCCTACGTGCCCATGGCTGCCAGCTCCTGGCTGGCTGGTGGAGTCAACTCTTTGGTGCAGATCTCTCTTGCAGTACAATTACCCTTCTGTGGGGACAATGTCATCAACCATTTTACCTGTGAGATTCTAGCTGTCCTGAAGTTGGCTTGTGCTGATATCTCCATCAATGTGATCAGTATGGGGGTGGCCAACGTGATCTTCCTGGGGGTCCCAGTTCTGTTCATTTTTGTCTCCTATATCTTTATCCTCACCACCATCCTGAGGATCCCCTCAGCTGAGGGCCAGCGAAAGGCCTTCTCTATCTGTTCTTCGCATCTTACTGTGGTGGTCATCTTCTATGGGACTATTCTTTTCATGTATGCAAAACCCAAATCAAAGGACCCACGGGGGGAGGACAAGCAGGACGTTTCAGACAAGCTCATCTCTCTCTTTTATGGAGTGCTGACTCCCATGCTCAACCCCATCATCTACAGCCTGAGAAACAAGGATGTGAAGGTCGCTATGAAAAACCTAGCGGGTCAGAAATGCTTCACCCAGTGATACTAGGAAGAAGCAGTGTAGTATCTTGTGATTCTGTGCGCACAGGGGATCCCCTGAGAAAGGACCACATGATAAGTACAGACTTGCTCAGTTTTATCACACAACTGTCCAAACAATGTACACCAGGACGGGACTTTCCTGGGTGATTAACAATGCAACATCAACTCTCTAGAATGAAGAGGGGGTTGTGCTAAATCATGTAGAACCAAGAATAAGTGACTTTTAACATTTATTTTTATTCTGAAAAAAATAAGCAATAAAATTACAACTTTGTAAAAAAAACTCTACTTCTTTCTTAGCTCATGTACAGACTAGCTGAAATTTGTATGTGCCAATTATGTTGTTCTCTGCTCTACTGTGTAATGGGGAGCATGGCATTGAGGAACAGTTACTAGTTAATTGGTGTCCAAACTAAAATCCAATCTGCATTTTGGATAGTTCCCAACACCAAGACATGCCAAATGACATTACTTAATGCCTCTTTGTAGGAGCTCAGAGTGTTTCCAGTTTAATTATTTCCTGTTTAATATTCTAGAGCCAATTTGGGGGAACTCCTCTTGCTGTACATAGAGCATATCTATTCCTACTCTTCCCCCTCAGTCCCCAAATAATCTAATTTCTGCAAAGAGAAAACTTTTTTTTAAACCATTATAACTTTGCTCCAGAAGGTAAAGGAAAATATAACCATAATGTATGAATAGCTAGAAAAGTAGTGAAAGTAAAAAGGATAACATGAAAAGTCTAGAACTAAAACCTGAAATATTCAAATTAAAAATAGAAGCTGGGCTTTTATTTATTTTTTGAAATTTTTTATTGATTACGTTATTACATATGTGTCATTACCCTCCAAACCCCCCACTCATGCCCTCACCCCCCTGTTGTCTGTGTCTATTGGTTAGGCATATATGCTTGCATATAAGTCCTTTGGTTGATCTCCCCGCCTCATCCCCACTCTCCCCTACCTTCCCTCTGAGGTTTGACGGTCTGATTGATGCTTCTCTGTCTCTGGATCTGTTTTTGTTCATCAGTTTATGTTGTTCATTATATTCCATAAATGAGTGAGATCATGTGATTTTTATCTGAAGCTGGGCTTTTAAATTATTGGAGATTACAGAAGGAAAAATCAGCAAAATAGACCAATAAATTGTATTCAATCTGAAAAACAGAGATAAAAGATTGAAACAAATGAGTCTTTGAAAATTTTGGGACCATAAAAAATGGTCTAACATATAAATTTGAATCACAGAAGATAAAAACAGAGAAATAATGAAGCAGGAAAATATTTCAAAAAAATAAATAGAGAAAAATACCCAAGAAGTGGCAAAAGACATAAAAATGCAGATTCAAAACACAGAAATTTTTATAGTAATACACAAAAATAAAAAGAATAAAATATATCATAGATACATCATAATCAAACTGTTGAAGAGGAAAAATAAAGAGAAAATCTTAAAAGCAGATTTGAATGACTGATGGCTTTTCATCAGAAAAAACAAGCTAGAATATAGTGAAAAATATTTTAAGAATATTAAAAAAGAAAATAAACCATTTTATAAGCAGCAAAAAAATTTTAAGAGTTAATACAAAATAGGAGAAAACAAGATGGCGGCATAGGTAAACACCTGAAATTGCTACCTCGCACAACCACTTCAAAAATACAACTAAAAGACAAAACAAACATCATCCAGAACCACAGGAAAGCTGGCTGAGTGGAAATTCTACAACTAGAAGGAAAGAGAAAAGCACACTGAGACTCAGGGGGAGGTGTGGAGGTGGAGTGCAGAGGTACAGAGGCGCACAAGGAAAGGGCTGGCAACTGAGGACGTGGTTGTCTTTTTCAATCAGGAGGGAGGCACAAGCTCCCGATGGTTCTGAACTCCAGTTCCGGGTGAGTCTCTGGTGACCCAGACTCATATGGGGATAAACTGGACTGTCTGGCCGCCGGCAG